GGGTTTGCTCATTTTTTTAACTCGGCTACATACACCGCCATAGATTCTTCCTTATGTTGAATACGTCAGCGAAATTTAAAACTTTCTGCGAGTTGGCTCGGTTTTGGGTTTAAACTCCATCAACTCATTATAGTGTTATTTAGTGTTCGTGCTCGTAGACAGTTTCCTGTTCTGTAAGTAGAATTCTATACACACTTCTCGCCTCAGAAGCGGCATTGTTTTGTTTAATAACTGTGTGCTTGTTGCGATAGGCGACAGCTAGGTACCCACCGTAGCGCACCTAAAGCGTAGGCGAATTAGTTGTTAGTTTTAGACACACGTCCCTGCCGCAAGGCCTATTAACTACACGTCGGCGGGGCGCAAGCCCCAAAGGCTTGGACTTACGCTCGAAATGGGAGTCCTAGAGGAATTCCTTCGCCAACGATTTCCCGAAGTGTGGGCAAACTTTCTCGCGTTCGCGAAAGAAAAATGTTTAGTCGTCGAGTTCGCCAGCGACAGCACGGCTTCGCCGGCAGTCGACTCGCCGTCATCTCCGGTGCCCTCTGCGCCCGCTAATGCGTCGCCTTCAGCGACACAAGAAATGCTCGTCGCATCGACGCGCATTTCCGCGCATTCCATCTCGGCCCCCTTCCGCGCCGTCGTTCCTGACTCACAATCGGACGGCGGCTCGGACATGGAGGTCGAAACGAACCCCGCTGAAAACGCGAACACCGACGGCTTCACCGTCGTTAAGTCGCGTAAGAAGGGCAAAAAACGCCCCGCAACCGATAGCGACCTCGAATGCGAGGCCACCTCGTCTAACCGTCCCACCACGACGCCTGCCAAAAAGGCAGCCGCGACTGCCCAAACGGAAGTTGAATTCGCCGCCGAGCGAAAAATTACGCCGTCGCCTCCTATTATAATTCAAGAAAAGGCAAAGTGGCATTTAGTATGCTCGTGGTTTGAACGCCACAACATCCGCGACCCCCGGTCAAAAAATACTCAAATGGGTATCAGCGTGTACCTAGACAACGGACGATTTCCGCCGCGTAACCAAGTACTTACGCGAAAATAAGGTAGGTTTTCATACCTACTCGCTGCCCTAAGAGCGAAAACTTCGGGTAGTAATAAAGAGCGTCCCCAAAGAGTCGGATGTCGATAAGGCTAAGGTCGACATCCGCACTCAGGGATACCCTGTGTACGCTGTTCGTCGCCTCAGGCAACCTCGAACCCGTGTCTCTATGGACACGTTCAAAATCTATGTATTTTACAATATCTGATATTTCCGAAATCTGATGTACCGAATACTCGCTCACTCGCTATACCAACACGAATCGCGATGTCATACGCGTTTGCCTCAATATCAGATTTTTAAACAGATTTTATGAATAAGTTAAGTAATTTTGAATCTTAATCTTATGCAATAAGATCCGTTTCATTTAAATTATTGCCACAATATCAGATTTTTAGACAAAGCGCGTGAGATACAAATATTCACTAGTTAGAGCAGTACGGCAACAATATCAGATTTTTAAACAGATTTCGAGCGACAAAGTGCGTAAGATACAAATATTACATTAATTAGAGAAGTACGGCAACAATATCAGATTTTTAAACAGATTTTATGAATAAGTTAAGTAATTTTGAATCTTAATGTCATGCAAATAAGATCCGTTTCATTTAGATACTGAGCATGGTATCAACGATTACGATATCTTTTAATTATTTTATGTAACCTTGAGCCGTATCTAGCGACAAAAGGGGCCCATTCACTATCCTGCCTGGCAGTCCGCCGTGCAGTCCGCCGCTCTATGCAGGATCGTGAATGGTGTTGCAGGCCTGCACAGTTTCTGGCAACACCGAGCAGGACGACCCTTGCAGGGTCCTGCAAGGGTCGTCCTGCTCGGAAATAGTTTAACTTGATAAAAGTTTATGATATTACTTTGGACATTTGAAATCGAAATCTGATTCAGATACGGTTCTCAGAAAAAGCGATACGACCCATCTCTACGGGGTTGGTTCTGAAGGTCGAAATTTCCAGAAGTAAAACGTTGAAACCAAAAACGTACGGTGCGTTCTTTTGCGACACTAGCGCCGTACAAATCATTAATCCTTCGAGCTGTTTCTGCAGCACTGGTGCCACGGTACTCGTAAATATACTGATATTTCCTGTTTTCCATTGTGCAGTAATAAGCGACGCCAAAGAAAAATATAATTAGGAAAAAACAAATGAATAACTGTGTTCAAAACTTAAATGTACCAGCTAAATAAATAAGTACATAAATTTGAATATGGAATTCTTAACCAAAGATAGATATTTCAGATAACAGTGGTTAGTACGTCAAAACGCTAATTTCATATGTAAAGAGCTAATATTTATTTATTTCAAATTATAATAGTGCCTGTTTTCTTTTTTCCGTGTGTATTAAGGCAAATTATAATTACCTCCAGTTACATAGACATAAAAGTGTAGGATATACAGCGTGCATGTCGCTACAACTGCGACAATAAATGAACACACGTATAGAGGATAACTTTTTAAAATTGTTTAAAATTTAAATTTTTAAATATTTTTAAAATTAAGCATTTACATTCTTTAAACATCAATATTTACCGAGTTATTAAATTTTACAAAACAAACAACGTATAAAACTGTAACGTAAAGTTCATTTGTAAAGGTCATAAAGCGTATGAATGACTTGAATGAATTTAAAAGAGATAAAACATACTGTTAGACGCAGAGACTTATAATGCGAAGTGTGTGGCAACGAATGAAAACGTCTCTGAATGTGAGAATCAGTCAGTTACAATTTTGTTTCTTTTTTATTTAATTAGTTTGTTTGAAAAGTATATTTTTTAATTAGAGATTTTTTAACGTTTTATATCTTTTTATGATTATTGGCAAGTAGCGTTACATGTACGTCTCATTTATTGTCGCGGTTGTAACGACACGCTGTATATTTTATACATAGCACAGATTAGGACTTAAAATAAAAATATGTATAATAAAAATGAAAATCAAATATATTATTGCATTTGTGAATTGAAATTACAATTCAGCAAATAAATCTTTGACCTTATCATAATTTAACTCGTGTACAATTCGATTTTCTATCTCCATAATTGCAAGACTCGATAAGCATTCCTGGCTCATAGAAGATCGCAAATAATGCTTAGTTTTAGTTTGCTAAAACATCGCTCACAGCTTGCGGATGTAGTAGGAAGCGTAGAGTAAATCGCAGGGCAATACATATTAAATATCCTGCAAATCATGTGCATAGATCTGTTGCAATAGATTCAATACGAGAATTCGTGCAGCACGTCTCACTCCGCACTATGGGTATCAGTCGTGTTGATATGGTCATGAAATTTCTTTACTTGTACTATTATTAATTTCGTTGCCAAAGTTAAGTAAATTATGAGTTGTCCATTCGTCTGTAAAATGTGAATTTGTCCGCCGTCTGAACTTGCTGAACCCCTCCTATATCCGGGGCTGCTGTACTCAGCAATTTAAGACAGTACTTTACGTTGGCAACGCATTTGCAAGTGCTCTGGTGTTGCAGATGTTCTTGAGTGGTTGTGATCACCTTCGCTCGGGTGTGCCGCATGCCTTTTACATAAAAAAACAACAAAATATTATATAAAATTTGAAATATAATATAATATTTGAAACATATATCATATTTTTTTAAATATGATATATGTTTAAATATATTGTACAGATACAATAGTGTACAATATATTTATAAATACGCTACTTAGGTATATAAATGTTTAACAATTACAAACATTCTATGTTTATATTATTTTTTAATGATCATAATGATCAATTGAAAATATTTTAACCATCCTTTATGAAACTTAGACGATATTTGAAAAGCCATTTCAAAGGCAATTATTTAACTTCTACATTCTACAATGATCAGTGTTTCTGAAACCGGGCGTGAAAATCAGGGAGACGTTTCACCTTAAAATCGGTGCATTTGGCATGGACAAGTAAAATAAAAAAATACATTTAATAGATAATAAAATCTATCAATAGTTAGAGACAAGTGCTCTATCTCTCTGTGAAATCGTTAAATCGAATTCTTCCAAAATCAAGTCATTCATGGGAGTAACACGAAATTTATAATAATTAGAAAGAACAAAAACTTTGTTGATATCTAAACCAAAGATCATTTATAGAGACATATGATAATGACCAAAAACCAAAAAGCGAATAATTAAGAAATAAATAAAAAATAAATTCTAACATTTTTAGGCATTTATCAATCTGGCAAAATTTTGAATCTAATTCATTCCAGGAGGCAACACTGAAAGGTATTATCCGCCATCTTCTTGTTTATTCCTATTTCCTTTTATAATAATTTTAATGGTATTTTAACAAGCTAAGGTATAATGTCTGCTACCAACTAATGTGAGTGGTATTTTTTTTTTTCGTGATTAAATAAGTTTGGATGGGTGACTCAAGAAGCGGATGCAGTGTCTAGTTTACTTCATTGTTTCAATTTATTAAACTGCCCAGGTAAGGACGATTTATATGGTTGAGGTGACCACCATTATGAGATTTAACCACTGTTTTCGTGTGTGTGTGTTTTCTTTGACATGTTTAATTTTAGGAGTATATTATCTATTGGTTGAAATTTTACTTTGTTTAGAGGCAGTTTTAGTCCATGAGCAGTCGTGGCGATCAAAATGGCCGTCAGCCACCGCTGCCCGCGCAGCCTAGGCCACCATCCGAAGGACGATCTGAAACAGAAGTTGCGACGTCTAATGACCAATCGAAACAAATTTGTCGTAACTATGTCTGGGGTACATGTAACAAAAATGCAAAATGTAAATTTCGTCACGAACTCGTTTTTGAGGAAATGAAAAAAATACTAAAATTCTGCCACGACTATCAAAATCGAACTGGCTGTGCAAGAGAAGATTGCACTTATCTTCATGCAACAAGAGAAGAGGAAAATCTATTTCTTACGACCGGACAACTACCACGTGTACTCGCGGAACGTCATGCATCAATGTCGGTGTCAACTAATGTTGAAACTATTCCACAAATAGCAATGTTTATAAGGGAGTCCTACGTACCACCTCCGCCAGCGCCTGTAACAGCTGCTCTAGCAGCCACCCCTGCCCCACCAGTGCTACCGCCACCTCCTAACACACGACAGGCTCCTCCTGCTCCACCACCAGTACCAGCATTGCCTATGTTACCAGCAATGCCAATTCCGGTTCAGCAACCTCCTCCACCTCCACCTCCTCCTCCTCCACCACCACCACCACCTCCCACAATCCCGTCAACTGTGGCTCCTACTTCTGCATCTGTCTATACAGGTAAATAATTTCTTAACCTGAAAACCAAATTCAAAGAATCACTTATCTTCCACACAAGAACTTCATATTTCATGGAATTGCTATGTACACTTAAAAAAATCAGTTGAGCCATTACGGAGGAATTTAATTACAAATAATGTGACAAGAATTTTATATATTAGATAGATAATCTATAATATTTTATTATTTATTTTCCAGCACCTCCACCACCACCTCCACAAACACCAATTGTTTTCCCAATAAATCAACCACCTCCACCTCTGCCAGTAATGTATGTATGATTTTATTTATATACTTAATTTTATTTATTTATGGAGTAAAAAGGTAAACAAAACATATTAATCTAAATCTGATTTCAAGGTTTGATGCTACTAGGCCTCCTCCACAAATACCAACAACTAAAAATGGTGCTGGGAAGCATAAATCACCAAATTTATGTGAAGGTGAGTTTATATACATAATATATCAATTTTAAAAGACCTACAAATTAGTTATTATGCTAAGCGATATTTCATTTGAGTACTTTGTCTTGACTAAAAGCACACTAAAAATTAGCTTTAGCGAATATTTCACAATGGTCACTTAAAAGAAAATTAAGATTATAGAATTAAGAAGTATTATTTAAAAAAAATTGTGGTTCTTTTATCCTTGTTATACTCTAATTAAAAAATAGTAGAAGCACTCCCAAAGAAACAGTAACAATCTAAGATACCTTATGTTCTTTTGTCTTTGCTAAATGAGTTTATATATATCAAATATCATGGGGCTAGCTCAGCACGGATATCATGCGTAATAAATCCATCTTGTAATAAGCCAGTCAAACTACTTGACTACTCTGTAAATCCTTTTTTCAGTGTTATATTATTTTATGCTAAGATTATACAGTACAATAATAATTACTAACATTGTGTAATTTGATAGTGTTTAGTTGAAAAACCATTAGTCCCTAAAAATTATTTATTCTATTATAAGATTATTCTTTATTCAGAGACAAATATTATTTATGATAAAGCTAGCATTACTAAAAAACCTATTGTAAACTTAAACTACTTATATTTACAAAATAATGTATTAGAAAATATAAAATATATTAGTAAGATATTAAATTATCAAGTTCTATCTGGCTTGGCGCTTATTGATTTGTTCTCAGCTGGACCAAGCAAAATAAGGAAGCCAGAGGACACCAATGTAGCAGACGCGCATTGCGAAAACTGTGTTCAAGGCGAGATCAGGTTTGGAAATATCGCAATTTGTCTATAATATTGTCTGCATGAGTTTAAGTCAGAAAAGTATATATTAAATACAAACATACACTACTATTATTATTAATATATTAGTTGTGGCTTCTTAAATTTTATATACTTTCGTCACAAATCTATGTTCAAGCGAGTATTTTAAAGCAGAGCGCGTTATTATTTATAAAAAAAACATCAAGCGAATTTTTAGCGTTCATTATTTGCCACATAAATCTTAGATTGCTTTAGCCTAAATTATATCAATATAGTTATTTGAGAAAAATTATTTTGATGACCACCCAGTTCAGCGCGTCCTTTTTTTTTTCAAAAATTCCTATAACATGCTGTGCGAAAAAGACATTTCACAAGTTTTCGATATGTTGAATCTGTCTTAATCACATCAGATTTTATGTTGGATGTACCAACTAAATACTTAATTGGCAGTTTACAGAATAAATTAATTTAGACTATCTAGGATATTACTGACTTTAGACAGAACAAATTATTTTTACATAATTTCTTATCAAAAAGTTTGCGCAGCGATTACTATTTGCTTAATTATCCAACGTAATGTTCAAATAAACATGTTGGATATGGTGCGACACATAGAACAATTGTATTTTAAGTTTATAAATATACCTATATATATATATATATATATATATATTTATACATATATCTTTTTTTAATTTCTTATGTTCAATTTTTTGTTGGTATTTATAGTATATTGTATCATAAAAATAATCACACAATCTATTGAAGGATTTTTTTCGCAGGATTGATTTGTATAGGCAAGAATTGGATAAACTTCGATGTGAAAAGGAGTATGAAATTTTGATATATAAAAAAAGCCTTGAAGAATATGAAACTGGAAAAGATTTGTTGAGGACCCTTGTCAATGCTGATCTATTTCGGATTTTAGAAGAGCACATTGAGGTTATTTCCTGCTTAAATCATAACTATCTCTTTATGAATGTTTAAAATTTGTGTGATAACGTCAGACTATTTAATACATCGACAATGTGATGTTAACTTTTGGAATAATGTGTTACAATTTTTTTAACATAATAAATCATAATTAACTGACTTATATTAATAACGACACTTATCTAATTAGATTAATCCTTATCTATATAAACAGTTAAATTTGTTTAGGATTCACTTTAATATTACTAAATAGTTTTTATTCTATTACAGGGTGTTCCACAAATTCAATTACATGACATTTTGTCCCAATTAAATCAAACATCTACTTCGGTAATTGTTTTTTTTTTTATATTATTAATTTGTATTATCAAGAGTATTAAAACATTATTCAATTATTTTTAGGGTATGTCAACAGTACCAAAGCAATTTCTTTTACAACTTATGAATTGTGTCTTTAATAATTCAAGGACTTTAATTGATTCTGTAAGTATCCATTATAATTTTTTATTTTTTAATCGACATATGGCTATTATTGTATATTATTGGGAGTTTTACAAAATTTTATAAACATTTTAGACGTCAAGTACTACAGACATTTTGGATGATACACTATTACAATCTCTTTCATCAATGCCTAGGAGAGCAAATTCTGTGGTTAATCATTCGTCATCTTTAGAAGTTATTCAAGCATTTGTTGGTCTTTTACAAAATTGTAAGTATTGCTACCTATTAACATTGTTTATAAATTCTATTAAATATTATTTTTATCAATTTAATTTAAAATTTTCTGTTATTCCAGCTAATGCAAATGCAGATAAGACGCAATCAAATGATTTGACTGGTGAAATCAACAGAATAAATAATACAACTGGGAATGGTTTGGGTGTCAAAGGTTTTAATGGTTGTAGTACCAGTCAAAAGGTAGAAAGTTCAACATCCGTATCTATGGCTGGGGCTGTTCCTTATTCTAGTACTAACATACCAGCGCGGTCTTACATGGGTGTTAGTGCGGTGGTGTCAAGTACATCTGGACCTCAAATTAATGCGCCTCCGCCGCCATTTCCCACTTATCAACCGTCTATACCACCTCCACCACCAACAAGACCCTTCTATAATCAAATGTTTACTACACCCTCTAGCAGTGAGTATGCATATCAATGCATTCCAAACTTTTACTGACGAAATATATTTGGTTTAAAAGTTAGTAGTTTAGTATAATAATATTTAAAGATAAGTGTTAGGGATCATATCCATACTATGTGACCCAATTTTGACACCTTTTATCCATACCTTGGTGATAATTCATAGTATGTTAGAAGAGTACTAGTTTTCACGTTTGCTATGTCAAAACTATTGGGGATCATAAAATATACAAACAGAAAGTTAAAAAGTATAATTTGAGTAATATTAGTCTTTATTAATACAGCGCTTGCAATGTGACGTAAAAAGTGCATGCATACCTATAGTTACAAGTGAAAAATTATAATTGTCAGTTGACCTGTGTATGCCATATTTTCAAAATAAGTCATCAAATGTAATGTTTGAAATAAAAATCGTTGGCGAAAGTGATCGTGCATTTTTTATGTGCAGATGTTCAGAATGTATCGTACAACGTAACAAACCGAGCAACTGCACCTTCCACACAGCCAACACCATCTCGATCTTCAACATCTGCAGCAATCCCAGTACATGCTGACAGTCAAAATTGTAATAAATTTGTAAGAGGAAGGTACCCACCACCACATTATTACTCTCCATATTAAAGAAACCTGGTGAGTTCAACCTAAAGAGGTTATGTCATAACAGTCATCATGATTAAAGTAATGGTATAATATTTCATGGTACTATAGAACTCACATCAATGTTCAAACAGTACACAAATTACCGTCAATTTGTGTACCATTTGAAAAATTGTTGGTCCACCCAACAATTTTTCAAATGGTTCTGGTATTGACGGTAATTCAGTTTTATATCAAAATAATAATGTTAGTTTATTTTCCATTGAATGTGCTTAAGGACTGTATTCTTTAAATTGAGGTATGAGAGATAGGTTTGCTTGGCGGCGATGCGAGGTGTATAAATTAACAATACCATTAAATGATTAAGGTTTCAGGATGGGAGTAATTTGCCTTTTTAGATTTTATTTATTTAATAAGAGAATGCAACTGTTTTAGATTTTAAGATTATATGTGCTAAGCGAAAACAAAGATTTTTTTAAAATTTCTTAACATGTGTTTCATTATATATAATACAATATTAATGTCCTTTTTTAATATCTTATCTCATAAAAGAAGTTCATCCTTTATTTTACTTTCGCATACCGCGCCACAATAGACCATGCAGGTCAAGGAACACAAGCTTCAACAAGTTAATTGTTTTTTTTTTATCAGGAATTACTAAACTTTATGATAAAGTTAGTGACTGCAGCAAGTATTAAGTATTACAATCAAAAAATAAAGTTTCAAATCCGTTCATTCATTATTTACAAAGATTTTATTTACCCTTTTAAAGTTAAATAAATATTTTATTGCTGAAGGCCTTTCTAATTTGGAAATAATGGTCATCTTCATGAAATAACCCGTCATGAACATAAGTATCATATTATTAACTTATCAAGTTTGATTTTCAATCAAGAGATGACAAAAGAAAGAAAACCAAACAAAAATCTAAATTTTTTTATGACTGTTTCTATGTTAGTTAATGAATTTTTATATAAGTTTATTTTACCAGTATTTGTAAATTTTCTGGAGACATCAATTTCAATTTTTAGGGTAATAAAAGCTAATGTATGTTACATTTTAATTACTTTGAGAATTCAGTTTCCTTTAGGATCCTATATAATGAAACACATGTTAACATATAAGTTTTGACATATTTACAATTATTAAAGTAGTCCATTTCAAAGATTGTCTGTAAAGAGATATTTAATAGTCTGAAATATGACATTATAATTATAAACCTGTATTTAAGCTTAAATTGGATAGAATGTGCGTAAATATTGAATATCATGTTATTTATAACATGTATTGTATTTTTTTTCCATTAGGCAGATTATTATGTATATTCGCATTTTGCTATATTTAAAGTTACAGTTTGCAAAATAAAAAGCAATTTTACTTAAAGCTGCGCTTAGTGATTTATTTAATTTCATATCCAAGTTCTGATATAATCTTACTCAGCAGTGGGGGTAAATAATTAAAGAAAATATATTCGTCCAAACATAATACTGTAAAACTGGCTGTCTTTCACATTTGTTAATTTTTAAGATTTTGCAAGCACCAAAAAACAATGCTCAGCCCTTCTCTTAAACTATACCTTATGCATTGCCAAAATTGTTAAAGCAAAGTTGCCGTATTTGGAAAATCATTGAAATTCTTATATGAATATTGGAATGTGCTTGATGGTGGCATTAATGCACTTAAATGTTGCAAAGGAAGTATAAAAGCAACTATGGAGCTACTGGAAAAAGGGTTGAAGGCTATTATTCAAACAAATGGCTATTATTCAACTTTATGGGTTGTATACATATATTGTATATATTACAATTCTAATGTTACTTGCCAATAATCATAAAAAATGTAAATGTTAAAAAATCCATAATTAAAAAAAAATTCAAACAAACCAATAAAATAAAAAAAGAAACATGATTTGTAACATCCTATACAACTGACTGATTCATTCATAATGTTTACGTTATCGACTCAAAACGACATAGACGCAGTTGCATAGTAGCTACAAACCTTACAACGTGATTGTTTCTTTCTAACAGCGTGTTTTGTCTCCTTTTAAATTCATTCACCCATTCATATGGTTTGTGACCTTTACCAATGAACTTCACACTACAGTTTTAAACTGACAAGTGTCCTAAAATTGTTTGTTTTCAAAACATTAATAACTTTGTAAAGAATAATTTTTAATAAAAACAACTATGTCAAAAGATTTTAACTGTAAACCTCAATATGTGTGTTAGTTTATTGTCGCGGTAGTAAAGCCATATATATATATATATATATATTTATACTAGCTGACTCGGCAAACATTGTTTTTGCTATATAAATTATTTGTAGGGTAGAAAAAAATTGTTATTAATTTGTTCTCATACTTACTGAATATATATATATATATATATAAAATTTCAACAAAAATTAGTCAAGATGTTTCGGAGGAGTTTAAACACTAAAACTGTGACACAAGAATTTTATATATTAGATAAGTAATTATGCAGGCAACTTTGCTTTATAAATCTTTTGCTGTCTAGAACAGTTGAGCTATTGCTATACATATAGTCACTTTATTTTAATTTTTATTGTGATCTTATATGACAATATTTCCTTGATAAACTTTTTAATATCCCTTTATTTGGCTTATCCAGGGTGGTCCCCACTGCTTTAGATCTATTCAATTTGTATATGTAATTATTTTAGTACCTTTTTATTTAGGGCGAAAATTCCAGCTAAATGCTAAGCTAGACTGTTTTATATTACATGAATTGTATATTAGAAAAAGTACATAGCAACAGCCTGTCTATTTATTAGTGTCCTTGATAGGGAATAACAAAACCTACTTTATTACTTGATATTCTGTGTTTCTAACAGTTAAAATAAAATTGTATAAAACATGTTTTACTAGTTTAGTAAAAGGTCATATAATGTTAACTTACTGCTCTGCTACATATATTCTTCTGAATTTTTATTTCTGTTTCTGTTTTTAATTATTACTACTGTTTTGGAACATTTGTATATTTTTAATTAAAAAGATGTTGTCTCATTGACTGATAATAATAGTTCTTTCATTGAATGTAAATTTAGTCATGCATTGTAAAATAATCAATAAAGTAATAAAAAATAGTTAAAATCATTTTAGAATTATTGTCACAAGATGTTGTCTTAAATTTAATTGTATCAATAAATGGTAGAGAACTTTAGTACTGTATTTCATTTATAAATAAATATATAAGCTTAGGACACCATAATAAAAATATACCCACCATGGGTTGCAAAGTTCACTGTCGTCAAAAGCAAAACAAACCATGGTAATGGTAAACTAATGAAACAAAATAGTGGTACTTACTTTACTTGCAAAACCAAGTCTTGAAGTGTTCATCTCAATGGTCTTCAAGGGATCAGCGGTATCTGCTACTACTGAAAATGAATAAATTAGCCTTTGCAATTAGTTTTATATTAAACAAATTGTGCTATCATGTTACTAATGAATTTTATTTTACATTTTGTTATATAAAAATCTAATTGTACTGAGGATTTAGAATAGTATAAACAAAAATGTGAGTTTATAACTATACCCCAGCTTTAGAATTTTTGATATAAACCTGCGCAAAGATCACAGTTTTACTTGTGTATTAATACCATAAATGCGAAAGTGCGTCTTTATCAGCCATTTACACTGCAAAAGCTAAATGGAGTGTTATGTAAAATAGAGATAGGCAAACATTAGATTAATACAGGAATGTTTTATCAAGTGTGAAAACTTGTTAAAATATTAAGAAAATTACGTCTGAATGTGAATATTGAAAATACACTGTATATAAATAATATTGAAAAAAATAATGAAAATATATATATGCAATTATATTATCATCTGCTTAATATACTATTAAATGCTGGCGTCTAAATGAATGCGTATGCGATTAATATTAACTTCATAGTCACATCGAGATTTTTATTTGTTCATTAACTGAACATTTTCCATAGCGAATTTTATCGCGACAATACCTTAATATTGCTCGAGTCAATATGCAAATTAAAGGAAGAGAAAGATCTTATTTTAATCATTAAGCAGATGCTAACCGAGTGGAAGGTATGAGGTTCCTGTCTAAATCAACCCATACTCCCATGTAGCGCTTCGTTTCATTTAAATTGCTACATCGAGCCTTATAAGAATCCTATACATTACCTTGAGTATTTCTCAAGTCCATACACGTAATTTAAAGTTAATATTTCTATTACAGCTTGTTAATTTTTAATTGTTAATACAAAAATCGTATTTGGACTAAATCTAAAAGAGTAGAATCAAAATAGTGATTCGTAATTTCTTATAGATGTTTGTGGTTAGGTTAGATTCGTTTTTTTTTTCTTGAAAATAATGAAACCAGTCTTTGACGTTCTGCTAATTCTTTCCCTTTGCACAACTTTCTAAAAGTTATGTCCAAATATAATAAAGCATTTATTATTATAGTCTAAATTTTAAATACTATTGTTGTAAAAATATTATGTCTTTTTAGAGGGTTTTTGTGTAACAACATTTTTGGAAAAAAATTCCTATCAAGCACAGGGTTATCTGCCTCATTATTTCAAATTTACCGATTTTTGTATTTATTTCATATACACTTCTCGATAATTACAGACGGATGAATGAACAATGAATTTAAAGTGCCTTTAACACAATAATTGAAATATTTCATTTCAAGTTGGATGTATAAGTTGTATGTGAATAGTCGTATTTAATGAAAAAAGCTATTTATCGACCAAAGGTAATTTATCCAATTCGTCACAGATAAACAAATAACTATAACCTTTATATTTAGGAAAATTCTATGACAACTCTTAAAAGTATCATTGATTTTACATGATTTTGAAATATAATTCTAAAAATAAATATGGATGGGGCACGGATGACGATGCAAGATGGTGCGATGAATTCTTGAATTTCAGCTCTTCGAATTCTTTACGTGCAAATATCAATTTTAACACAAGTGGGACCTACTTTTGATACTAATTTAAAAAAATCCAGTTTTTCGCATCTG